GGAAACTGACTAAATGAACTAATTCTACTGAATCTTGCAAGTTTGAAAGTACAGATTTCCTGTTGTCACTTTTAACTGCTTGTTCCATTAGATTGGGGCAGGGGTCCCCAACCCCCGGTCTCTGGATCGGCACTGGGCCACAGCATGCCAGAAACTGGCCATGCAAAGAAGTGAAGCCCTATCCGTGGGATGCAGACAGCATGCAAAACCACTCCCCCTCCGATCCACAGGAAAACCTTTCTCCATGGAACTGGTCCCTGGTGGCCAAAAGGTTGGGGGTGTCTGGTTTAGGAGATCCATTAGGGTGGGTCCTTCCAAAGTTTCCTTCTCTGATTGTTAAGCCACTGTGGGCTCCTCCATCTCTTATCTGATTGTTTCCTAGGCAGCGTTCCTTCTTTTCTCAAGGTCATCCACATATTCCATTATATCTGGCTTCCTGGGTGTTGGATTTCAACAATATCTGGGCCTTCCAGATGATTAGCCTTTTCCCATCTCAAACTTCCTGAATTTAATATAAACAATTCAAGAATCAAATTAAATCAAACACAAACAAATTGTTCTGTGTCCTCTCCCTATTTCTGCTTTCTTAGGACATCAGGACACTACAGGCACAAGATATGTTTATATTATTTACACGTTTAGAGCTTGTAGAAAATGCCTGCCAATTAGTGTTTGCCCTTTCTGGTTGTAACTGAGCATAGAGAACTGAGAGCCAATTAGTGCTTGCTTGTCAACTAGCAACTGAATGCCTCATCCAGATCTGGACCTAAACATGTTTCTGCTTCTCTTTGCAAAAAACAAAAGACAGTAAATCATCAGTATTTCCCTATATGCCCATGCTCACAATCTTTAATTACATGCCATACTCTTAAATACTGGTGTACTGTCAATTCTACAGTTGAGCTCCTTTAGCTACAGTGGTAATGCTACCTTCAGTAAGAGCACACTGTGCCTTTGAACATAAGTCAGTTTTTAAAGGTCACTGCATTGAAATGGCCTTTGTCTCTCCATGGATGCCACTGATACAGAGATAGATCAAAACAGCTTGCAATTGTAGGCCACAGTTGCAACATCATATGAAGTTAGCTTATGACACTATGGGTACTGTACCTTTATCTGCTGAAGAGTCTTAGTTTCTCACTCTTGGTGTCTTTTTCCTTTTACTTTAGACCAGTGTTTCTCAGCCTTGGCAAGTTGAAGATGAGTGGGCTTCCAACTCCCAGAATTCCACAATCAGCTGTACTGGCTGTGGAATTCTGGGAGTTGAAGTCCATACATCTTAAAAGTTGCCAAGGTTGAGAAATACTGCTTTAGATCACAGATGTGGGGTCAGCTCTGTAGCTTGTGGTATGTAATATTTTCTTGATGTACAATGGCATTTGTTACTTTGAAAAGATGTGGCTAAAAGACGAAGTTAGAAAAAAACTCACCAACTATAGAAGTGGTGCTGTTGGATTGACTGAATTTGTTTTCATTGCTTGATGCTTTATGGATTGTGCAGTGTGCAGTTGAGTTGATCATTTCCTCCCTTTTTTAACATTAAAAATAAAAATCAGAGTCCTTTATCAAATCTTTTTTTTTAATGGTATTTTTACTTACAGAATAGAGGATTGGTGCAGAGAGTCAGTTTGCCATTAGGTTAAGGTAGTGGTTTAGAAACCAGTGAGTTCTAATCCCACCTTAGACATAAAGCTGGCTGGTGACTTTAGACCAGTGGTTCTCAACCTGTGGGTCGGGACCCCATTTGGGGTCGAACAACCATTTCACGGGGATTGCCAAACAACGCAGTCCGCCATTTTTCCCCCTCTTTCCTTAGCTGTGCTACTCCCTTTTATTCTATTGGCTTTTGAAAGCCAATAGAATAGACTCTCGTGAATAGAGTCTAATGCTATTGGCTTTCAAAAGCCAATAGGAATTGTCCAGGTTGTCTCTGCCCTGCTGAGCCCGCCAAAAGTCCCATTCTGCAAACGGTGCTGCACCAGTTGAGTAGTCCTCGACTTACAACTGGTTAAGTAGTCCTTGACTTACGACCGGTTGGGGGGGTCACGGTATTAAAAAGGTTGAGAACCACTGCTTTAGACCAATCACTTTGTTTCAGTACAGTCCACCTCACAAGGTTATTGTAGGGAAAACAAGCGGAAACAGGAATATTATGCATATTCACTGCCTTGAATTTTTATATATATATAAAATAATAAAGTAAGGATAAGACAATCTTTAAAAAAATCCAAATTAAACATGTAAACTTTTCCAACCCATATCTAGTGATATTGATTAGGGGTTCTGTAATTATAATAGTCTACAACCGGGAAATGGGTAGAGAGGGGGAAGAAGAGATGCTGTCTTGGGAATGATCAGATAAGAGAGGGCATGGCCCACAGCTGAATAACAGGCAGAGGAATAAACTCACAAAGGAAGGTCTCTAATTTTTCAGACTGTGAAAGAGATAGTGGGAGATTTGTACACTCAGACCTGCACTACTCTGTTAATGTAATCTTACAATAAGTAGAATTAGCTCATTTGGTTATCTTTGCAGCCTACTTGAAAAGGCTGGCAATTCTTAATGGCAAAGTTAACAAAAAATAAAAGTGAGGATATCAGTTGCTCAATATATAAAAATATAATGTGTAATTTGAGAGTGAGTTGGAAGTAAGAATTTTAAAGCGACATCTACATTAAATTAAATCTCTGAATTTTATTGCTTAATTGACATTTGTATTTCTCTCTATATTCTCTTTCTCTTCTTCCTCTGATGATCTGATTCATTCATCCAAGGTTCAGATATTTAGATTGTTTTGGGGGGAAAATGAGTTTTTCTGTGTTGGCTTGCTTTTTGAAAAAAATCCTTATACAGGTAGTCCTCGACTTATGACCTCAATTGAGCCCAAAATTTACATTGCTAACCAAGACATTTGTTAAGTGATTTTTTCCCATTTTAAGACCTTCCTTGCCACAGTTGTTAAGTGAATCACTGCAGTTGTTAAGTTAACTTAACATGGCTGTTAAGTGAATCAGGCTTCCCCATTGACTTTGCTTATCAGAAGTGCAAAAGTTGATCACATGGTCCTGGGACACTGCAACCGTCATAAATATGAGTCAGTTGCCAAGCATTTGAATTTTAATCACCTGACCATGGAGATGCGGCAGCAGTTGTAAGTGTAAAAACCAGTCGTAAGTCACTTTTTTCAGTGTCGAACACTCACTACACAAACTGTTGTAAGTTAAGGACTGCTTGTACTCAGACATGTCCCTACACTAGCAGGATAAACTTTTGCATATGGGAAGCAGCATTTATGGGGCAAATTGCAAAGGTGAGATAAATTGATTTTTTTAATAAGACAGAAGTCCAGCTAGTGAGGACCTGCTATAAATGAGGATAGGAACCCAACAGATTGAGAGCATAGGTGGCAATTTAAATACACTTTCTAAAACATAACCAGATGCACACAATGTTATTTCCCAAATTGTTATGCTATGCAACACTGAGCATAGCATAATGGTTAGAATGCAGTGGTTAGAATGCAGCACTGCAGGCTAACTCACTGCTCACTGCCAGGAATTCAAGGTTGACTCAGCTTCCATCCTTCTGAAGTCAGTAAAATGAGGATCCAGATTGTTGGGGGCAATATGCGGACTCTGTAAACCACTTAGAGAAAGCACTATGAAGCGGTATATAAGTCCAAGTGCTATTGCTATAGCTGTCTTTGTGTTTTTATAGTTTTGCAGTTTTTATGTTTATAAAGTGCTCCAAAGGCTATAACTGAAAAGGCTCTTATCTTCTAGATCTGGGGTCCCCAATCTCCAGTTCATGTACTAGTGCCAGTCCATAGCCCATTGGCAATTGGGCTGCGCAAGTGTTGGGCAAATGCACACAGCTCCATTTGTGTAAGCAGCAGGCAAGCCCATGAAACATCCCATTCCCCACTGCTGCTGGACTACAGAGCCGGAAGGATTGGAGACAGCTATTCTAGACACTATTCACTGCTTAGTCAACTCACATTAGAATAAAATCATTATTGAAATGCTAATTAATACAGGTAGTCCTCGAGTTATGAATGTAATGGAGCCACTCATAACTTGAGTACTCATAGGGGTGAATCTCGTACCTTGATCACTCCCTGATTTCGCCCACACATTCACTAATTGAATGTGCGGGCGAATGCATGGTTCGTTAAGTGTGTATGAGTTAACTCAGGGTGGGGAAGGCCATGGGGGGAGCTAGTGATGGAACAGGTGCTCAAGGCCTTCCCGACCCACTAAGATACCTCATGCTTCCCCCTCCCTTCCTGCCGCACCAAACTCCCTTACCTTGAAAAGTTTGTCTCCTCTCTGTCGCGGTTTCTGCCTTTGAGGGAGAGGAGAGTCAATGCAAGCTCCTAAATGCCATAATATCATGCAAGTTCAGACACCCATCCTCTTTTGCAGAGAATAGGTGCCTGAACTCATGTGAGATCACGGACCTCAGAAACTTTAATTTTCAGTGAAAACACTGGTGTGGCAGGAAGGGAGAGGGAAGCAGTTGTGGGGAACGAGGGGAAATAGAGTGAATGTTGCAGAGCCTCTGTAGTCGTTTGTAAGGGTGAACAATTGCCGTAATTTGGGTGCTGATCACGTAACTTCAAACAAGCATTAAATGAATGCTTATGACTCGCGGATTACCCTGTACTCAGCTTTCAAAGATGAGGTTTTGGGCAGTAATGATGTAAATAAAAGCTCTCTAACTAGTATGGTGAATGATATTATGTCAGTTTGTTGGGTTGACTTGATGCGCGCGCGCGCACACACACACACACACACACACGTAATTCACTTGAAATAGGAAAAGAAAGCAAGGAAAACAAATGAACCTTTCTATATATCTATTTGATTACCTGTGGCAAAATTAATAATTTCCTTGCTTTAATTTTGACAAGTTGGAACATCTCTTTTTGAAATGCTTTTTGAGTGTTTTGAAATTCATTCAACTACATGGTAAAAAAAATATTTAATTGTTTGTTTAGTTTTACAGAATTTTTGGACCCATTCCAGAGAATTATTCAGCCAGAAGAGATCTGGCTATATAAAAATCCATTGGTTGAATCTGACAACATACCTACGCGTCTCATGTTTGTAAGTACTAGAATTTAATGATTATTCAGTGGGTGACTGTGACTCATGTTATTGCTGTTAGAGAATATAAAGTGGAAAAGTATGTTTTTAAAATAACAGATTGATAAGCAGAGGGATGCATTAATGCAATTCCTAACAGTGTGCAGTAAATTTAACACTGTAAAATAATTTGTTTACATATGGTGAAAGATGATGACAGCTAGTTAAGCAATCTTATCATGATTATGTTCGCTTGTTATAAATTCCTAGCGGTATCATGGTTCATAAAAAAATTCTGAGGTTAAGTCAAATTGACGTTTTAGAGGCCATTACTACTTGCTACCTAACATCTTTTTTTTTTTTTTTGTTATAGCTGATCTTTCCCCCCTTATCACGATCACATATGCTTAGAAAGGCACCTGCAGAGCAGTTAATGATTGGTATAGGCCTAAATCTCGCTTCTTTTCCCAGTTCACAAGGCAGCTTGCATAAATCTCATAGCAACTGTGCCAGAGGGCTTTTCATGGAATCCATGCCATGATGCTGTCTGGCTTTCTTGGACCTGGTAGCAATACAGTATTACAGTCACTCAGGATAAATGATGAAGCTGGAAAGTCAATTATGCCTCCCTTGGCACAATAGTCAGGCTGGCTGAATAAGGAGTGGGGACTTCTCAATGTTTAGTATCATTTGGTCCATATGGAATGCATACCGGTAATTGTTTTAGTAGATACTTTGAACAGATATGCAAACATTTGATTTTGTGCTCAGCCAAGTTATATAGTCATTTAATTTAAAGTGGTCCCTTTTACATTTCTGGGGCATAGATAATGCTACAAATGCCTAGAAAGAAAGAAAGAAAGAAAGAAAGAAAGAAAGAAAGAAAGAAAGAAAGAAAGAAAGAAAGAAAGAAAGAAAGAAAGAAAGAAAGAAAGAAAGAAAGAAAGAAAAAGAAATTTGGACTGTTTTGGTGCTTACATCCTATAATTATACAAAATAGTTATTTGGAAAGGATTCTTGACTCTTCATTTTTCAGTACACACTGAAAACCTGGGATTTTCACCCAAGCACTTCAGAGAAGAATAGAATAACTTGGGTGCTCTATTCCAATACAAACTATTGCTTTTAAAGAGGTGACTAATCAAAAGGTAAATGTTCTAGGATATCTACATAATACTCATGCTTCAAAGGTAGAAAATTTGGCTTTCTTTTATTTGCTAACAAGATAGTTTAGTTATCCGCTGAGTTTTTTTTTAAAAAAATAAATACATAAAACAGCCACAGTTCAGTAAACAAAAAAAACTATGGCATGAAAAATGCTGTCAAAGCTGAAACATTTCTAAGTTAAAGACAGTATTTTTCAGCATAACCATTAAATGTGATTTGTCAGTGGATTTTCCTAAAGCAAAGAAAGAATAATTCTGAAATCACTTCTTGGGAGGATTTGCAAGACTTAGTGTCTTTTCAAGAGGCAACTGGGTGAGAGTATGTGATGTTCTTGATTTTTAGGACAAATAATTGCACACACAAACTTCTATTGTATGTGGTGTTGAAAGACAGCGCCCTTCTCTTCTTTGCTATATTAATATGTTATAGTGGTAGTACCTTGGGCACGATTTGATAAGCCTGGTATTTTGACTACAGCACTTAATGAATTGTTTCTCCCCTCATGTTGAACTGTCAGAATGTCTGCATGTCTGTTGTCAGAAGTATAACAACAACAACATTAGTAGCAGCAAAACAGCTGTTGAAGAAGAGAATATGAATCTCCAAGGACATGGAAAAGAGGGGAGGTTCATTAGACCATTTGTCAAAACTTTAAAGCAAGCCCAGGTTGATTTAACATCTAATCAAGATGTTATGCAAAAGTGGGCAAAAGATGGTTTCTCTTTCAGTGTCTGGAAGAGTAATGTTTGTTATAAGAATATGTCAGCCACTGTTCTTGGCACTGCCAATAAAAACTTTCTAGCTATACTTAACAAGTATGAGTTCCTGGCTTCAGGTTGGACCGCCTCTCACCTTCCCCTTCCCCTCCTCCCCTTCCCTTTCCTTCTGTCTTTTGCAATTATTTTTTCTAATCTTTTAATTGTTTAATTTTTAAGCCATCCAGAATTTTTGAGAGTGTTGGGTAACCTATACATTAAATGAATAAATAAACAAAATAAATAAATAAATAAATAAATAAATTCTAGGTGGCAGTAGTAGTGTCCGGTTTTAGAAATTTGCTTTCCTTTTTTAATAGTTTTGTTATCTTTACCATGTATTTATTGCCTCCAAATTCTGGAGCATTTGCAATAAATATAAAAAAAGTTAAACAAAGAAAGAAAATACTTGTGAAAGTTCATGTACATTTTTAATACATTTTATTATGATAAACATTTTTGTACGCAGTTAACTAGTATGTATAAATAACATTCCTTAAGAGTATTATTTCATGCAAATTGTAGCCAGTAAAGAGTAAAGCCTTCAGTGTTCCTTAAAACAAACTGAATGGCCTGTTCTCTATCTAGCTTTCTTTTTATTGTCTTTTTTTAAACTGAAAGCTGTAACTACAGGTCTTTGGAACAATTGCAAGTTCCTGAAAATGTAATTGAGAGTGCTTCACCATCAAAATTATCAAAATTAGTTCTTCTTAGATTGCTCCTCTAGATTGCTTCCCAGCAAAACAGTTGCGTGCAAAATAGAAAAAAAATGAATGAATAAATAAATACTATCTACAAGTAGTCCTCAACTTACAATAGTTCACTTAGTGACCATTCAAAATTACAATGACAATGGAAAAAGTGACTTCTGACCATTTTTCACACTTATGACCATAGCAGCATCCCCATGGGCACGTGATTTACATTCAGATGCCTGACAACTGACTCATATTTCTGACGGTTGCAGTGAGCCGGGCTTATGTGATCACCTTTTGTGACCTTCTGACAAGCAAAGTCAATGGGGAAGCCAGGTTCACTTAACAACTGCAGTGATTCACTTAACAAATGTGGCAAGAAAAGTCATAAAATGAGGAAAAACTCACTTAACAAATTTCTCACTTAGCAACATAAATTTTGGGGCTCAATTGTAGTTGTAAGTTGAGGACTACCTGTATTTAGATATCTAGTCATACATCTAATGCATCAACTAGCACAGGGGTGTCAAACTGCCGGCCTGCGGGCCAGATGCATCATGCCAAAACTGCGCCCACCCCATTGCTGGCAATGGGAAAAAAGTCATGATATGTCGCAACACCACGTGACGTTGCAAGTTTGACACCTGTGATCTAGCATTTGGTTGAGCAGTTAATATACTGCATGAGAAAAGTCTTTTGAGTTTTCAAGATCATTAACAAAAATGCAATTATAAGATTACGGTGCATGAATGTGGCTATGAATCCTGCTTTAACATACCTGGAAATACAAAGTGGGAATACATTTTACTTCTCTTCCCACTGAGCAGAGCTTAATAAGTATGATTAGTTTAGGAAATGCCAATATTCATTAATTGATTGATTCACAAATGCATTGGATATACATATGCACATTTTAAAACGGAGTCAATTGGGCACATATGGACAAACTCTGCAACTACTTCTGTATCTGTGTTGGTCATTGTGTTTCATATTATGTGTAGACACTCAGAATAAGGTGAAGCATAATACTGAAGCTGCACATAGTTACTCTAGAATGATAATGTTGTTCATGTTTAGCAGAGCAAAAAGGGGAGGCTTTCCAAAGAAAGGAAAGCCTTGTACCCTGTTTCTAGTTTTTTCTTTTTCTTTTGCCACATAAGTATTGTCCAACCAAATTAAGCCTAACTGGCCTTTTGAAGTTAGCTATGCAATTCATAGCTTGATCCTTCTGCAACTCTAAGACAGGCCTTTCTTTGAAAGCGGCACAAGCAAATTGAAATGATGAATGGTGTCAGTATTCCAGCACTAATGAAGCTTATGAAGCTTGTGGGAGAATTTGTAGAGAATGGTATATTTCACGGCACACAAAGCCCCAGGTGTTTCCATTTTACCTGACCTTTCAATTGTAAATGGCCCTGTCACCTGGTTGCTTTTGTAAGTTACAATAAGAAGACGACCAATTCAGGCAAATTAATTAGAAACCATAATACCTTAATTCAAAAAATAAGTGCAGACCCTTGGTTAAAGATATAGTGTATGATAATTTTTCAAAACTATTTTGCATTTTGATTTGTTATAAATGCCTCACTAAGACAGAAAATCTGTCCACAGCCATATGAACAAGAAGACTTTGTGCCAAGCCTTGGTGTATGACACCTTACAATTCAGATATGGATTTGTTCAATGTTTTCATTTTCATGTAAACTTTTTCATGGTATTCTGTTTATGAAGTAAACTTCGCTGTTGAAAACCTATGTTTCTTACTGAGGATTCAAACCCACTTATAAGTATGCATGTGGGGTTGCAGGATTCTGAATCAGATGTATGTCTTCATGCCACATTAAATCTGATATCCCTTTTTTTTGTCAAGAATAGCTTTTTAATAAGTTCTGTGGACTTTAATAAGAAACTGAAATTCTCTCAGCCCTTAAGGAGGATAGTGCTTGGCTGTTTGGATCAGAGTTTATTCCCACCTCCATGGATTCATTTATTTTTTATCCTAATCCTATTTATTGAAATATTTTCTTAATAAAAGTTGGCACATGTACAAGCACTCTCGCCCCAGACAACTAGAAATGACTTCATCTTAATTATATTTTGTAGCATTCATTCTTAAAGATGGAAGACAAATCTACGTTGAAATTTATATAAGCTTCCTCTGCTTGTATATTCAAATCTATACAGTAAAGCAGAGAAATCCACAATGGAATATGATATATTCTCTTATTTTGATATATTTTCTTATTTTTTTTAAAAAAGTAGGATCATATAGAAGAAAAAACTGCAAAATATACATGATAGAGTTTATTAGGGTAAATATGCAAGAAAATAAATTTTGAGGGTGTCAAAGAAATGATTGTGAAAATGGAATGGTGCTAGACAAATGAAAATGAATATATCAAAAATTGAAAAGAAGATATGGCATTATATGCAGGTTTATAGGAGTTTCTTCTATATAGTGAATAGTATCATTCCTAATATTCTATTTTATGACTGCTGGGTGTATATTATCACATGATTAGCTTTTCCAGTGGTCATTTATGGTGGTGGCAGAGTGGCACGGTGGTGTAGAAGTGGAGCCATTGCCTCACAATCAGTGGGGTTGTGAGTTCAATCCTAGATAGCGACAGATATTTCTCTGTCTGGGTGCAATGAGTAATTGTCTGCTGCGAACTTGGTGCAGGCATCAGGAAGGGCATTTGGCCAATAAATGTACAAAATCCATTCCCGATTCCACCCCAATGCAAGGAATTACAAGAAGAAAAAAAGAAAAAAAATGGTTGTGGCAATCAGTTAAGATTCTTAAATAAATGGAAGCATTTGTATGAAGTATTAATAGAAAAGATGTAGTTTTTTTCATAAAGTCATTCATGCCAGCATAACTTTATTCTTGGTTTCTTGCTTGCCTATTTTAAACGCTTTCTATATTTGACTCCTGGGGTTTATTGAATGTGAAGGCTGGGCCAGCCATCATACCAAATAGCAGGGATCTACACATGTAACCATATCAGGAACTCAGGAGAATTTGGACCATTGAAGTTTTGATATACTTCATTCAGATAAGTTGGCAACTGGGCACTTTAGCATATACACGAGGATCTCCTAGAGATCTGTCAAACTCACGACATCATGTGATGTCGTGCAACGTATTGGGCCGGTTTTGCCATTGCCGGCAATGGGGTGGGCGCCGCTTCCACGTGATGCAGCTGGCCCATGGGCCAGCAGTTTCACAACTCTATCCTAGAGCATTTTTGTGAATTTTAAAGGAACAATCAGAGACTTGTTTAGGGTAGTGATCTTAAAAAGAGAGTAGGGGAAAATGAGGCACGTATGAGCTGCAGACTCCCCCAAGGTCTGTAGAATTCTTTTTAAAATAGAAAGGGGCTGAATTGTGAAGTATACTTTCTGGAAATGAAATTCTTATGGAGGTAAATTGGATTGGACAAAATAGTCTTCTTCTGAAAAATCAGAACATTCAGTATGCATATGTTTCATGTACAAAATGTATAGGATATACTAAAGCCATGAGTATTTCTGGAAAATCTTTGTCCTGATGTTTTGCAATGTATTGCTTCCTCTTCAGAGTTTAGTTTTCATTTTGAAAGCTGATAATTGTTAAGTTACAGCTCTAATTTGTTTGTATCAGTTAAGATTCAGAATTTAGTCTCTCCTTTGATAATAATAGTAATTAATTTCTTTTTGCTCTTGGGTTGATGCAGCTTTGCATGGAACCAAGGAGATCACTAATAATAGCCCATCTAAATGAAGCAAACTGGAAATGACTATTTCTGATGGAGAGACACAGCAGTAACAATTAATATGTTGTTGTGTCTGTCATAGGCCATTTCATTCCTGACACCCCTGGCTGTCATTTTTGTGGTGAAAATAATCCGACGCACAGACAAGACTGAAATTAAAGAAGCTTTGCTAGGTATGCTAAGAATAATATTAAATTCTGTTTTAAATGATGGGAAATTGTTTTTTCCAGAAATGTTGGGAGATTAAAAAACTTCCTTTCAAAACTTTGGTATCTGTACTGGTAAATAACTGGAAATTATTATTATCAAGATCATCATCTCTTAAGAACTTCAGTTCCTCCTCCCTTTCTTTTTGCATTTACTAGAGTAAATGCACTGATTCTTCTAAAGTTATCACAATGTACTGATAGAATAATATTCAAACAAGATGTTCTATACAAGCCACCCTCCCCAGGGAAAAAAAATAAATTGAGTTATCTATTAACTGGAAAGGGAAGGAAAGGAAAGAGAGAGAAAAAGATAGTTGGGAAGTAAAAGAAAAAGTAAGTAGTAATTAAGTAGGCCAGCTGGGTTCAGGAATTTCACTCCCAGCAAGAATACTTTGGACTTCTGATTCTGTTTGCCATTATGAAATCTTGTAACGGTTTAGGAGAATTCAATGTCTCTTATTAATCTCTAGTCTAAAAAGTGTGTGTCTACAATGAGACAAAAGCAGGAAGAAATCAATGTTATTGTTTTGTCCTCACTGACTGGGCAAACTGCACCAAGTCCTTTCAATCAGTGGATTCAAAACATTCATTTTTTTTCTTTTTAGGTCCAAGTCTCACTTCTGCAGAAGGAAAAGTCTTATATTAGTCACTAGCTTGTTATTATAGCTACAGGCTTCCACTTTTCATCTATCCGCTTGCTTTCAATAGTGTCTGCCTCTATTTAATGATTAAACACACATTTCCTATTTTAAAGGTAATTTTTTTTGGAGAAACTCTCATCTTCTTTTCAGGTAAATATGGCTATTTGGATTTCCAACAAATTTTATGATGGTCTTAAAAAACAAATTGATGAAAGAACTTCAGTTTTCTTGGGCCTCTGGAAAGATCTGAAGCAATTATTGAGTGATGCAGTGTTTCCTAGTTTTGTATTGATATTCTGTAATCTGTAGGGTTCTGAAGGTTTCTTCTAGTAATGGAAGACTTACTGTTTTTTCGAAAAGCCAGAAGCTCTTTACATTTGATGAAGTAATTTCCTTATGTCAGTAATGAGAGCGAAATTAGTATAGGGCTTAAGACACCAGACTAGAATCCAGGAGACTGTAAGCTCTCGTTCCATCTTTGGCATGAACCAAGCTAGGTGTCTTTGGACCAGTCACCCTCTCTGTCAGCCTAAGAAATAGCAAGCCACTTCCAAAAATGTTGTCAAGAAAACTCAGAGACTAGCTCAGGCAGTTGCCAGGAGTCAACACCAACGTGAAGGCACAGAGTGCACAAAAATAATGTCATTTTTTAAAAAAAACAACAGTTGATAAACAAAGAGTTTAAAAAATAGACCCCTCTCACCAAAATATTATAAATACATATCAAGACTACAAATCTTGGTAGCTCCATTGTAGAGGATGAAAACCATTGTTCTAGTTTATATGGAGTGGAGTATATCAACCCTTGTTAACTATTTGTATAATCCTTCTCATTGGTGGTCAATTAAGCAGGAAGGAATGGTTTATTGATTGGTTGTTGATGTAAAGGGATCAAATATGAGTCCATTTTTTTTATCCTGAAGGAGGAATTTATTGATTCCGGAGGCATGAGATATGAATTAACTATGCCAAAAGATCATAGGAAAAAAAAAACCTTGAAAACATTTCATATTTCATCAAATTATCAGTTACATTTTTAGAAAATGTTGTAACAGCCTATTTCTGAGTTCTGATTACAAATTTAAAGTGTATCCAAGTAGTTTTATACTTTTTTTTGTTTGCTTTTAGCTGTGTCCTTGGCTCTTGCTTTAAATGGACTCTGCACGAACACTATTAAATTAATTGTGGGAAGGTAAGTCCTGAGTAACTATTCAATATACATCAAGGTATCCATAATGTTTCTGAATGAAAATGACAAGCAAGAAGCTTGTTTTGGAGAATACCAAACTCCTGAAAGACATTGGGTTGCTTTTCATCATTACTGCTACTATTACAGTACATGTTTTCAGAAAGGTGGAAAAACTAATGGGTGATTAAATGAAAAACTGGTAAAACTAATGCTTTGTAGTTTGCTTAGACATCTAGGAAATATTATGTAGGAAATATTATGTAATATTATGCTTTATTCAGATTAAAGCACTGTGGAGCACCTAGGTACACAATCTAGCACATGTCTACAACACCTTAAGGGTATTGTAATGGGGGGAAAAACATAAGCAGGATTTTTCCCCTGTAGGTAGGGGGCAAAACAGGAAATTCCACAAAAGTGTTTAGGTTAAATCAACTTCCCTTTTGCTTTGCTTTGAGAAATGAAATCTTGTATGGGAAAATGTAGAAGCAACTAAATTTAATTGCCTGCTCCCATAAATCCAACTCAGTTGAAAACAGTTCATCGCATGATACCAGTATGAACCCTCTGTTTTCTTCACCTTTTAAAAGTGCCTCATATGGTTTTTTTTCTCCATGATTGAAAAAGCCAATTAATTTTTGAAAATGATCTTCTCATATAAGCCCCTCGGTTTAACTCTAGGCGGTTAGAATTCTTAACTGCCTTCATGGTCACAATGCTTTGGATGAAAATAACTAATTAATTTCCCTCAGCACTTAATGAGCTTACGCAGCAGAAATAGTCAGCTTAGTATAATGATCACTTGGAGGCTTTACTAACGACTGCTCTTCCATATCAGATGTTCTTGGGGTTTCTTGCAGACCACGTCCCGATTTCTTTTACCGTTGCTTTCCGGATGGAATAATGAACTCTGAAATGCACTGCACGGGTGATCCAGATGTTGTGTCAGAAGGGAGGAAAAGCTTTCCCAGCATCCACTCCTCCTGTAAGTTTTTTCAGATGTTGTGCTTTGCCGTGATTCTTCTTGCTTTCAAGAGAATATACAGTAGGAGAAAGAAGGCATGGATGAGGTAGCCAGGGAAAGAGAGTGCCACCAATCTGAACCTTGGGAGTATTGGATGGGTCAATGGCACAGAGCGGAAGGGCTTGTCCTTTTCTGACTCTCTGCTGGGTATGACTTTGCTGTTGCTGTTTTAAAGTCAGAGAAAACTGTGGGGATATTCGAAGGAGGAAGAAAAAGGATCAGTCTTTGGCCACAAATCTATCCACGATTTAGAGGAAAAGTAGAAATATTGTGATTCATATGTGGGTTTGGATCAAAAATAACAACTCAACTCGGAGCTATCTGGGCTCCCTGGTTCTGGGGACTTTCTATTTTTAGTGTTGGGTGAGACTGATATTCATCCTGAGGGACATATTGGACATAAGAGCCCTTCCTGGAAGAACGGGTAGCCGTTATGGTCAAGAGGCCTTTCACACGTATTCATCTAGTATGCTAGTTGCACCTATTCCTAGATCAGGAAGCCTTCCGATGATTGGTACAGGTAATCCTCGACTTACAACTATTCATTTAGTGACTGTTCAAAGTTACACTGGCACTGAAAAAAGTGACTTATGATCATTTTTCACAATTATGACCGTTGCAACATCCCCATGGTCACATGATCAAAATTCAGCTGCTTGGCTACTGGCTCATATTTACGACGGTTGCAAAGTCAATGGGGAAGCCGTATTACTAACTTAACAAGTGCAGCGGTTCACATAACAACTGTGACAAGAAAGGTCATAAACATGGGGCAAAACTCACTTAACAAATGTCTCGCTTAGAAATTTAGGGCTCAGTTGTCATAAGTTGAGGACTACCTCTAGTTATTTTGATCCCCTATGCCAGGGGTATTTTGGGAGTTGAAGTCCACGAGTCATAAAAGAGCCAAGGTTGCCTACCCCTGCCCTATGCTGTTTCTCAGTGATTTGTTATTTCCTGATTTTCAAGTGGAAGTTGCCCAGAGTCATTTGGAGTGAGGCAGCCTCTAAACAAAAAAAATCTACAAGACATATCTGTACAATATATGAGGCAGCAATTCTAATGCTGAAATACTTATCTAGCCCTTTTTTTAACTTAGCATTTTTGCTATTAAATCTTTTAAAATCACTAAACATTGTCGGTCAGTTGCGTGAATACAATGTATCCTAGGTTATGCAGGTTTTTTTTTATATGGGCACATTTTCCCAGTATTCCTCTCCATTCAAAGAATCTGCCTTTGAAGGATAATTTTTAAGGTAACAGAAGAGGAGTATAATGAAAGAATTGGGAAAATCTATGTCAAATACCTGCAGTTTAATTTCAATTTATTTGAATGTTATTATTTGAAGTCATAAAATATATTATGTGTCAAATATGTGATCATTGGTATTCTTGATGGGAAAAGATATATGTAAGAACTACAGTAATATCTGTATATTATTCTATGTATATGTGTATCTACAAACACACACACACACTCACAGAAACACATGATAATGCTGTGGGCAGATGCCTAGGTTATATATAATCGTATATGATAAATTATAACCAAACAAATGCAAATGAATATCACTATGGCATGTATGATGCTGTGCAGCTTTTTTAAAAAAGGCAGTTTTCTAAGTGTATTGCATATAAATGAGTTATAATCCACTTTTCAGACCGAAGTAAAACAGGATCACTGTTGTTGAGATGGCTGCTATCCAGATTTACCAAAGATTCTGGGTAAATTCCTTTAAATGCTCAGAACAAGTTGTTCCTCTCTGCCACTGTCCACTCTGTTCTGATTTTCCCTACTAACAAATTATTGGCAAATTAACAAAAAAATCACCATCATCGAAGATTGTACAAAACTGAGTCTGCTTCTTTTTGCAGTCCTATATGCACATATTAGAGATTAAGTAATATAATAGAATTTCTTTTTCAGCGAATAAGATTGTTATAATGGTTGATTTACACGTGCACGTATGTACTGTATGTATGAAGAAGTAAACTCTCTGCCTTATATTATGACAATTATACGTTGTGATATAAAAGTACAATGTGATGTTATCCTAGGGCCCCCTGCTTGCAAATCCTCTTTACATTAAACTACAGATTTGGAGAAAGACATTTAGAATAGAATAGAATAGAATAGAATAGAATAGAATAGAATAGAATAGAATAGAATAGAATAGAGATGGAAGGGACCTTGGAGGTCTTCTAGTCCAGCCCCCTGCTCAAGCAGGAAAACCTATACCATCTCAGACAAGTGACTGTCTAGCCTCTTTTTAAAAAATCCCCAGTGATGGAGCACCCACGATTTCTGGAGGCAAGCTATTCCACTTGTTAATTGTCCTCACTGTCAAGAAGTTTATTCTTAATTCCAGGTTGCTTCTCTCTTTAATCAGTTTCCAACCATTGTTTCTTGTCCTGCCTTCTGGTGCTTTGGTGAATAACATGACTCCCTCTTCTTTGTGGCAGCCCCTCAAATACTGGAATACTGCTATCATGTCTCCCCTATTTCTTCTTTTCTTTAGAGTAGACGAATCCAAGTCCTGCAGCCGTTCTTTGTATGTTTTAGTCTCCAGGCCTTTGATCATCTTAGTTGTTCTTCTCTGAATTTTTTCCAAACTCTCAACATCTTTTTTGTGATATGGTGACCAAAATTGGCTGCAGTATTCCAGGTGTGTCCTACTAGGGTTTTATAAAGCAGTACTAATATCTCGCGTGATCTTGATTCTATGCCTCTGTTTATACAACCCAGGATTGTATTAGTATTTTTGGCTGCTGCTGCTGCACACTGCTGGCTCATAGTTAAATGATCGTCCAATAGAACTCCAAGGTCCCTCTTACAGTTACTGTTTTTAAGCCAGGTCTTGCCCATTCTGTACTTGTACCTTTGATTTTTTTTTGTACCTAAATGTAAAACTTTGCTTTTCTCCACATTGAAACTCATTTTATTGGATAGGGCCCAAATTTGTCAAGATCTTTTTGGGTCCTTAGTTGATCTTCTGGGGTGTTGGCTACTCCTGCCAGTTTAGTGTCATCTGCAAATTTGATGAGTTCCCCTTCAATTCCCTCATCTAAGTCATTGATGAAGATATTGGCCTAGAACAGAACTTTGTGGTACCCCACTGCTTACTTACATGTGGATGTACTGCCGTTGAGGACTACTTGTTGAGTTTGGTTTGCCAGGCAGCTACAGATCCATCTGGTGCTGATGTTGTCTATTTGGTAAGTTCCCGTTTCCTCCGCTTTGCTTTGTCTTACTGGACTTGCTCAAGATCAACAATGATTTTCCATTGCTGTTAATGAGATCAGATGGAGGGAAAGAAAAGAAAGAAAGAGAGACAGGAACATTAAGGACCTTTCGTCCGGAGCAGGTATCGTTGAACGTCGGAAGGCTGGCCAAAGATATAGGCAAAGCAAAGCTGGCTTTGGTGGGAAAAAAAAAACCTGACATAATTCCTGATCACATTTTTAAAAAATGTGAATCTCTTCAAAACTCCACAGTTGCATTTTTTTTTTTGCATCCAAAGACAACCAATGGAGTGTTCCAGCCTTCCAGTTAAAGAACACTATACCCTTTGTACAATATTTTTTTTAAATGGTTTATTGTTGCTGTTGGTTTTTTTTTCTTTCCTTGCTTTAGAAAAATGCATTAGGAAAAACTAGTTAGCTGACTTACAAAGGAATAAATATTACTATCATTCACAATCCATTTCTTAAATGAGTTAAAACAGCCTGCTGAAGCTCATTATTAAGTTTGGTTACTTTTCTCTCAAGCTGGAACATATGAAACATTTAATATTAATATGATCTCTGTTTACTGGCAAAGAAATTTTTAAGAAGAAGAATGGAAAGGATATATCTTTTGTGTGCTTGTTGTCAATTAAATAGCTGCAATGTGAAGTGGTACCTTCTACTTAGTGTTTGGGAATATATTTGATAGTGAAGCAGTGCATATTATTTAACTCAGTCCTTTTTTTAGTCAAGTTATCCCAGTGTTATCATAAGGTATTTATTCTAACCAATCAATAGTTTGATTGTCCATTTGTACATCTTCACCCTGCAATTTTTCAATTTTTCTTCTTTTTGTTGATTGAGAGACATATCTAGCAAGTAATTGAATACAAATGATTATAGAATTTCTCCATTTCCTGCTCTTCTTTACTTTTGGGAGAAGATAGTAAGTATTCCCATTCCTGCCTAAATCTTATTTAGGAACAAAAAACTTGCTTCTTAAGGGTAAAAGTTGCTGGACAGCTGATACAGATTTATAGTCCAACTATTTTTGATATTTTCAGGCATATATTACCCAAACTTCTTGAAAATCTTCCATTTTATTAATGAGAATTGTGCTAGCGTATTGTTTAATAAACCACATGCCTTCTGATCAACCAAATGGTAAATGGGCTACAAGATGAAAACCTGCAGTAAATCACGCCATTTATTCTTGGAACCAATTCACAGTGATTTTTTGTAGGCTAATTATGACAGTATTAAACTGCACTCTATTTGTCAGTCTGTTCCTGTCTTTTTGGTGCCTGAGAAAATACTGTCAACTTTGTATTTTATACCTTCCTTTTTTTATATTGCTCAAATGAGCAGTAAGACAATTAGCAGACTACACATGAAATAAAGTAGCCGACAACAGCTGACAAAAGTGTGCAAAGCATGACAAAAGACCTAATTTTATACTGTCAGTCATTTCACAGTTGCTGGTATCAGTCCTATTGGCTATAAAAAACTACATTTAGGAATAAAAAAATGTTTCAAAGTGAACATGGTTCTCTCACTAATTTTTTCTTCTCCCAACCATCTGGTAAAATATGTTAAGCAAGATTTTGTGGTTGAGAGTGGATGTAAACTTGACCTCCTAATCCCTGTTTACCTATTAAGCACTTTGGATGTCCAGCATTTTCTAATGCAAATTTCTTGTCTGTAGATTTCTTTTGCATGTATATGTAAATGTCTGT